GGTGCGACCCCGTCAGATAATTAGTTTTGGAAGCTCATATCTGAAAGGTTCTTACTCTGCGCAGCCGCGCTCGTTTCTGCGGCAGGCGCGCCTTTCAGGCCAGCTCTTACTCTATCCTCGTGTCGCACCCCCACTCGCACTCCTACCCCTCGCACTCCAGACCCACGGGCGGTGACGGCGCCCCCCCCCCGCCTAGGAAGCGAAGGGCGGGCCCGCGGCTGGCTAAAATAGGGGGCCTACTGCCGGCGAGAGTGGCCATGTGAACAGCTTAGCATGGCCATCCCTGCGCCTAGTTCGTTGCTGCACAGGCAGCATCCCAATACATGCTAGACACAGGGATGGGATTGGACGTTGTTCGGGGCGGGGGGAAGCGCTGCGGTTTGGGGTGCATCAAATTCCTGGGCAGCAGCCCGAGAACTGCTCGCAATGCAGTTTTCTCTTGCGCATGGTGATCGTTACGCTTGCCTTGAACAGTTTACATACAGAGACGACGCGGCAAATTCACCTACCTTTTCTTTACTTCGTTATATCGTTTACTTGATTATGGTTTGTGACTTCTTATTGTATTTGTCCAGCTTCGACGGCATTCGCCCTCGATCCCAAGGTTGTTACCATACTTAACTCTCATTGCTGAAGAATAAGTCTGGTTGATCCCCCCTCTGGTGCATACTGTATTTTTCAATTGAAGTGCCCCTCCCGGCGCTCGCGCCTTGTTTTCTATCAGGGAAACTTTTCCTCCTCAAACTGCGTTGTTGGCCCCCGTGTTATAACAACAACGGCTCCACCCTGAGACTTCCTCGCAATTTAGCCAGGGCCCCCTCTCCCGCCCGAGGCTTCCTCGCATTTTATTCAGGAGTCGCGCTCTCGCTTCGGATTTCCGTACACTTTATGCAGGAATCGCTTTCTCGGCGCTGTGGAGTTGCGCTCTCGCTGGAGACTTGCTTGCAAGCTATTCAAGAATAGTGCCCTTGCTTTGGAATTTCTCGCGATTTACTCAAGCGCCGCGCTCCCGACACTCGGGTACCCAGGAGTCGCGCTCACGCTTAGGACTCCCTCACACATTATTTAGGAATCGGGATCTCGCTGCCCTTCGTGGCCCCGTTGCAGCCCTTCGTGGCCTCCTCGCTGCCCTTCGTGGACCCGTTGCAGCCCCTCGTGGCCCCTTGCTGCCCTTCGTGGCCCCGTTGCAGCCCTTCCTGGCCCCCTCGCTGCCCTTCGTGGCCCCGTTGCAGCCCTTCGTGGCCCCCTCGCTTTGTTTCGTGGCCCCGTTGCAGCCCTTCGTGGCCCCCTCGCTTTGTTTCGTGGCCCCGTTGCAGCCCTTCGTGGCCCCCTCGCTTTGGTTTCGTGGCCCCGTTGCAGCCCTTCGTGACCCCCTCGCTGCCCTTCGCGGCTCCGTTGCAGCCCTTCGTGGCCCCCTCGCTTCGTTTCGTGGCCCCGTTGCAGCCCTTCGTGGCCCCCTCGCTGCTCTTCGTGGCCCCGTTGCAGCCCTTCGTGGCCCCCTCGCTGCCCTTCGTGGCCCCATATATGTATGCCCTTCGTGGCCCTGGCTCGTTCGCGCCCGTCGTGGCCCCATGTGCATGCCCTTCGTGGCCCCGCTGTCGCCCTTTGTGGACCCCTCGCTGCCCTTCGTGGCCCCGTTGCTGCCCTCAGTGGCCCCGTCCTTGCCCTCCGCGGCCCAATGTTTGTATGCCCTTCGTGGCCCCCGCTCGTTCGCGCCCGTCGTGGCCCCATGTGCATGCCCTTCGTGGCCCCGCTGTCGCCCTTTGTGGCCCCCTCGCTGTCCTACGTGGCCCAGTTGCTACCCTCACTGGCCCCGTCGTGGCCTTCAGTGGCCCCGCATTATCTGCCCTTCGTGGCCCCGGCTCGTTCGCGCTCTTCGACGCCCCATACGCATTCCCTTCGTGTCCCCGCTGTCGCCCTTCGTGGCCTACTTCGTGCCCTTCGTGGCCTTGCTGTCGTTCTCTCTCTATCGCTCCCGCTTTCGCTCGTCGTCCTCGTCGTCGTCGTCGTTGTCGTCGTCGACGTCGTCGTTGTCGTCGTCGTGGTCGGTCCCCTGTCCCTCTTGGGGTCGGGTTGCCGCCGATCACCGCTGCCGCTGGCCAGGCCGACGGTCCGCGGCCGCCCCGCCGCTTGCCGGGGCCTGGCCTGCAGGGAAGAAAGGTATACTCCCAAGAGGGGGACGATCGAAGACGAAGA